TATATATATATATTTGATTATCATTTCTTATATTACACTATTCATTTTAAATACTGCACTGGCTATAAGGGCGACGAAGAGGCTATTACAGTCTCCTAGTTTTCCCCGTACACCAGTTACTCCTCTTTTGTGTTCCTCGGGTAAGGAGCGGATCTCCGGGGCAATACGAACCGGAGCTATCCTCTAGGTAAGGAAGCTAACGAACTGGCGGACCTTCAGGGCAATACGAACTGAAGCAATCCCAGTTTCTAGGCGACTTACCGCACCCAACAGGAACTCAAGAGAGTCCTATAAATTTTTATTTACTAATATATAAGACCATCGGACGTGTGCACCACGGGCCAGGGGCATTGCGAATCTGACTACGTCTCTGCACACATCCACTGAAGTATCTCGTGATACAAGTTGGGGGCAATACGAATCCAACATTGTACCCACGAGTCCCCATGGTCCTCTATTCTTCTTAAGTCACATGAATATATCACGTCACATAAAAGTGAAAATAGTGAAAAAAGTTACTTAGAAAATTCATAAAACTGATTGAAGAATTGACGAAAACATAAATGCCGAAAGTAAAAATTTCGAACAATAATAAAACAGAAGTATGAAGTTGCGAAAATTACAAAATACTTCATTACAATGAAGATGAATTATTCCTTCAATTAATATCCTGGAACATGTCTTCATGCTCTTTACTAAAGAAAAATAGCCAAGAACAAAGTTGAATTCGTCGGAGGGTGGCAGCCAAGGATGCGTTTGCCACCGCAATGGGTGTTCGGTTAACTGCTCACAGCTGTGGCTGCGTCTTTGCTTTTCCTCTGCTGTTATTTTTCTCAAAAAATACACTCGCAGGGCTTATATTCGGCCTTGTTTCACCAGACTCGGGAGTAATTCTTCCTCAAAACTTTTACGGTGAAGAATTACGTTGTTAAGTATCCATTCAAACTGTTTGAAATAATATTTCGATATCAAAAGGCCCTGGCAAACAAAACGAAGCGCACCTTGTTGATTTTCGGCGTTAACGGTATTCTCCCCGATCCGCGAAGGTGAAGGGAAACGCTTTTAAAACAGCCGAGGGAATTTTAAGCTCGTGCAAACGCGCATCCAATCAAAAGTATGAGCCGCGGTAATTATCATGCTCCCTCAGGTTTGTGTTTTCTCGACAACCAAGTGCAAACCTCCCGACGAGCTTGATAATTCAAGAGCGTCCGGGGGCACAGGCAAAGTGAATCTTTGATGAACCTGATATTTAGAGGAAAAATCAAGCGCCAAGAGCCACGTGGCTGGACTCGGTCGATTTGTGTACCTGCGTACAACTGATGCTTTGGTACGTAACAAATTTATACACCAGCTCGCTGCTACTTGGGTATGCAATCACACGATCGAGTAGTGGGCTACTCTATTTTCCGAGCCACGAGCGCTTTTTTTCGAAGCCTCGCGCAGTACCTACACTTGTGTACTGTTTGATGAATAAATAAAACCTCGGGGTGGTAGGTACCTTTTAGCCAATGTTTATTCTTATTTTTGTAATCAACGCTGCCTTTAAGAGCATTCGAAGCCAAGCAAAAGGACGATTTGCCACGGCGCGATGGTTGTATATATACACATCGAGTTGTGAATATTGTGCAATCGGTCCACCTTTAGCGTGGGAAGCTCAAAACGGAATAAACGGAATGAAACGAAGGCGTGAATTTTAATATGGAAGGCTCTGGAATTTATTCGCATGCCTAATACAAGGCTTTACAAAATTATGCGGAAACGGGAATTAATTATTCAATGTTTCGAGCTGAGAGTATTCTTAAATCGAGTTTTGGGGTTGGTGCTCGAGTGACTGGGTTTGAGCACGAAATCAACGAAATGTAGTCAATTGAGTAACAAGATAAATTATACCTTACTAAACGGAGTACTTTGCTCAAGAGAGGTTTTTTATAAAAAAACAAATGTTAGCTCGTCTGAAATGGAAAATTTTTTTTCTCCTATTACATCACGGTCACGGGTCACGGTCAACTGAATCAATTTTCCATTGCCGTCTTTAAAAAATGAACCACTTTGGCGTGGGGCCAAGACGGAACGATTTCGAGTGGTTAGCTCTTCGATGGGCTTGTAGAGATACACTACGGATTATTTTCTGATGAGCAGCAAAGGGAAAAATTTCGAAACAGTCATTGCAATCAGTATAAAGATCATTCGCTTAGTTTTATTTAGGATTCAGTGGTTTATCTTGGGAAAAAAATATATATTGTTGAAAGCTTTAACATAGATGTTGGTATAATTAGTGCAGAGAAAAACAATAAAAACGTATGTATTGAAGAAAAAGGCCCCTTTGCGTACTACATCACTCAAGATTGTCGCAATAACGGTAGGGAAAATACGGTTGAATGAAACAAAAACCGTCAGAAAATAAAATGTTTGCAGCTTCCGAAAAAAAAAAAGAATACCGGTACTTTATCGAGAATGGCAACTTGGGGGCCATTCTTGCCATCAAGTTTTTCACTGCATGTGAATTCAGGTATATCTGATAAAACCGCAAAGGCAATAGAAAAGGAAGTGCAAAAAACTGCGGGCACTGTCTACTCTGATAAATTTCCACGACAAAGGACTGTTCAGCGATTGAGTGCCATATCCGCTTGCAAGCACAGGGCAGAGCTTATCTTTGGTCATCCTACTCTCCCGTACACATTAAACGGTGACTCATGTACTCGCACGTACAGTGGACTATCACGATGAAAGTGGAGCACCCATGTGTTTAGCGCTCGATACTCCACTCGCTGCATCGTGCTGGGGCGGAAACCGCTTTTGCACCTGCAGGAGGCACCCGTAACAGCTGTGCTCAAATCTCTATATATACACATGTTTGTATGTACATACATGCGTATGGTTGCGTATGAAAGGGTACAGAATATGTATGGAAGCGAGTGTACGTGCGCGTGGGCGAGGAATGAAATTAGGACGACGCGTAAAAGCCGTAAAACGAGCAGGCCTTGCGTCGCAAATTTCGTTGTCGTATTTTCTTCATTTTTAAGCTGGAAGGTGTGGAGGATAGGATATGGGTTTATTTAATTGTGGCTCGTTCAGCTTGGTGAAACCAAAAAAGTCAATACTGGAGTCACGTGTTTTGGGAATTCCCTTTACGCGTCATTTACCACACTGAGAGAAAAAAAAATAATAAAAATTATAGAGAAATTCCAGCAAAAATTACCATTCTGCACATATTATTGTTTTAACAGTTGAAATTATGGTTCGTAAAGCAAAACTTATGGTTACAACAGTAAAAATTTCTCATCTTCATTGTTAAAAATAATAACTCTTTCTTTTTTGCCACCTTGCATCAAATTTAATGTGCAAAAAAAGTAAGTTTTGCTGGTATTTCTCTACAATTTTTATTATTTTTTTTTCTCTCAGTGCATCGGATTGTGAAAATACGTTTATACGCGCATTTCTGCGTCCACAATAAGGAAATAACACTTTTAATCGGCATCTGTATCGTAATTGTTAAATCTGATTTTGCATACACTCGCTGGAACAGTTGGGTCAGGAGATGGGGGAGGATGCAATTAAACAAATGTATTTGCAATGGCAACAGGTAGTTTGAATAATTAAACGCTGCATCGACAATTACATGATGACACGGAGATCCCGATAACAACGTTTTGACGATGAGAAATATTTGTACATCTTCCGGAGATTTATTGGTTCAGCTGTGGAAAAAATATCGCGTGGTTAACAAACTTGTCGCAAATAAATTTTTTTTTTTTTCTCGAAATACAATAAATTTCGCGTCAAGGAAAGTATAGGTACAACGTTCCGTGATAAACAATGATTTGAGCTTTACTTGTAATATTTTTGTCAAAGAAATTTTACGTGCAACCAAATAGCATCGGTATACAAATGATTATCGACGTGTGCATTTTAATTTATTATCGACAGGTACGCGGGGCTGAACGAAAATAAGTATAAAAACAAAGTATCCACTGAATTTTAATAATTGAAGTAACATCAAATCCTACAGCCAACGTCCTCCTCGTGATTATATAGTCAAGCAAAGTTCTCGCGACGACCAAGAAATCCCATCGAGAAATCAATTTTCCACGATCAAAATACAGTCACGGTATAAACTCCCTCTCGTGTTGTCCGCAAAGAAGAAAAAGAAGCGCCCGTTTATTTCTTCAGACACGAAATAAGAGCATTTGCATTCGCATTAGCGAGCGCCTCTTGGCAAGCTCCCACGTTATCGTTTCTCTGTCGGTCAACGACAATTTTTTCGCTCCCCATTTATTATATTTTATTTTATTTTATTTTATTTCGCAAACGGCGCCATTGTATGAAATTGTCCGTTCGAGTTCTGCCCTTGATGTGTAGCACGTGCAGCGTCGACGACGCGAAACGGGGGCTTGTTTATGCGTTTAATTATTTTAAGTGCCGTTGCTTACTTTTCGCCAACTTTTCTCTCAAGCCGACTTAAAGGGGCAGGAGGAGGAAAAAGTTTTATATTCGCGGATAAGTGGGGCTCGAGCTTATCTTTGATCTCCCGGGCCAACTTTGGCGTCGCTCTATTTTATGACAACTACCATTTCATTAACAAGAAAAGTTGTGTTTTAAGCCAAGTGCCATCTTCGGGACTTGACATTACGGTAATTGACACGGAATCGCGGACAATTGAAATCTCTGTAATTATTTCTGATTCACGGTCCAGTGAAACTTTGTCGAGCGGAAAATGTATAATTTTCCCAAATGGAGGAAAAAAAGCAAGGAAAAAAAAGGATTTTTGTAGAGTTGAACGATTAACAAACCAAACCAAGAGTTTTATAAAACCGATCAGTATTTGCTACGTTGCAGGTTTCGAGACGCGCCCGGGAGGTGGCGGAGGAAGAAAACGAAATAACGAGTTACTTTGCAATCTCAGTTGGTGGCTTTTTACGAGCCTCGGAGCCACTGTTCGCCTACGTACGATCTCCAACTCCGTAAAGGGTGAAAAATTGTCTCTCTGGGTCAATTACTCACACGAGTTGCAGCCAAGTCGTGACGAACTTTTACTTCTACCTCTGTCTTTTTTCTCTCCCTCTCTCTCTCTCCTCGCTCTTTCACTCACTCGTACATTTCCAACAGCGAGCATACACACACACACACCGACAAAGTTGACTTTGCGCTACGATGCGGAGTTCCCTTGTTACAGCAGCTCACCAAGGGGATGGGAACTCATAAGCCACATCGACATCGATCACCTCGGTTGACAAGCCGCCCGAGATAATCGAGTTATCGTTATGTCCTTGCACGCATTAAAAACACCACAAACGCAATATCGCAATCAAATTTCGTTTTTACCATTATCTTTGTTTGTTTTTGTTTTAGTACAAATCGGCAGTTCATGTAAACTTAAGAAAACTAGTTTGTACAATCAAAGATATGGACTTATCGCTCCCCGTCGTTCGTTTATCCCCCGAGTTTTGCCGTCCTCCCGGCTCCTCAGCACCATCTCGAACTCGACCGGCTCTACGGCATCCCGATCGTTCCAGCTCTGCACTTTGCCACTGGCGTACCTCAAGTAAAAAAGGTTGGTCAGCACGGTGACCGCGAACCCGATCCAAAAGACCAGCCTCCACTCACCGATCGTCTGATTGGGAGTCAACACCCCGACGAGGTACGGCGACACTATGCCCCCAATACCCGCCACGGCGTTGGCTATGGACACCAAGGTGCTCGCGTAATTAGGACTGAGGTCAAGATTGTTGGTGACGATGCTCACGTAGCCGCAGCCCATCAGCGTCATGCCCACGACGAAGCTCGCCGAGACGAGGTTCGCGTCACACCCGGCGTACGAGGCACCCACGATGAACAAGGACGGGCCGATCGTGGCTACGACTCCGAAGGACTTTTTTACGCTCGTCACCGACATGGCTGTCCTCGCGAGGATACGGTCCATCAGCCAGCTGGTCAGCAGCGAGTTCAGCCAAATGCACAGATACGGCAGGGCGGACACGTAGCCGTTCTTGTCGATGGGCAGTCCGATGACGTTTTTCATGAATTTATTCAAATCGGAAGAAAGCAAAAACAGGGCCCAATCGTAGCCCAGCAAAGCTATCGCGAAAGCCCAGAACTGCTTGGACCTGAGAATTTGACGGTAGGGCGGTGGAGGTGGTTTCCTCGACACCTGGCCCCTCTGGCTCTCCTGCAAGTACTTCCTCTCGAGCTCGCCGACAAAGGGGTGCTCGTCCGAGTTGTTGTAGCAGAGGAGCAGCCAAAAGGGAAGCCATAACATACCGATGGCCCCGAAAACGTAGAACACGGCCGGCCAACTGTGACCTGAGTACTTGATGATCAGGGCGGGTCCGACGGTGCCAAAGACCGGTCCGAGGTTGAAGCCCGCGCATATGAAGGAACCGATCCTTGAGCGGTCCTGCGGTGTGGTCCAATGGGGCGTCATCGACGACACGGCCGGGAAAAGGGCACTGCTCGACGCGCCCATGACGAAACGAGCGATTATCAGGGCCGTCGTCCCTCCTTGGTCTATGATCCACGGCGTGAGAAAAGTCATCAGCGAAGGGACAAACACGGCCTGGGCCATGAAGTACTTGGCCCCGAAGCGCTCGATCAGGGGACCGTAGACTATTTGCATGGGCCCGTACACCCAGAAAATCGAGGACAAAATCACACCCTGCCAAAAAAAACACAAAAAAAAAAAAACGAGTGAGTTCTCTTGAGTCACGCAAACAGAAGGATCATTGTGTCGTTTACCTGGGTGTACTCGGTCCAGTCGTAAAGCGAATCCGTCGAAGCGGGCACTCTGTCCAGGACGTGGCTCTCAGGTCGAAAGCACTTGTCGCGCGTATGGTTGTCACTGGCTTCTCTTATCGGTACGACCATTTCCGTGATCGTTATGGGAAGAACCGAGCGCGTGGCGTTGCCGATCACCAGAGCTACAAAGGCCAACGACACGTACACCCATCTTTGCGGAATAACCGAACCTAAGGACAATCACTTTACATTATTCACCGTTGCCTATACGGTGGCACTCTATACTTACACCAGTTTGGTGTCATTGCCATGGTATCGGGTACACGTGAAATGGCGAACTTTTTTTATCAGTCACACGAACATTCTACACGTTGGTTCACGAAAACTCGCGGATAACCCAATATCTAGTCGTTCAAGCAAGTCTGTGACGTTGGAGTTATGTTTCGCCCACTATCTCGGTGTGCTCTGAAATCGCAACGTCTGACGAGACTGTGCCTCATCGCTTGGCGTTACGATGAGGAAACTCCGTGGTCACGCAACTGTTTCATTATTTACCAAACTTATCCAAACACGAACGCAAAAGTGGAAAATACCATTCGGGCTTATCAATTAACGTATTTGATTGCACCTTCAACGAGGAATCGTGTAGAAAAAAAAAAAAAAAAAAAAAAAAAAAAAAAAAAAAAAAAACAATTTCGCATCTTCGTGCACCGGGATTTCGTTATTTTCATTCAACTTTATTTTATCTCATCATTATTTACACACGTTGATAGTGAGAGCTAAACTCTTCCTTTTTTTTTCTTTTCCTTTCGAGATAAAACTCTTCTCGAGTTTAAAGTGAATCCAACCTCTCGATAGTCTTGACATTTCTCTTGAAATTCATATCGTTCCAGTACTGAATCTCTCCACTGCCGTAAGCGACGAAACAAGCACAAGTGACCACGGCCACGGCAAAGTTGATCCAAAAGACCGACCGCCACTCGGCAATCGTCTGATTGGTTGTCATCAAGCCTACAATGTACGGCGACACGACCCCGCAGAGGGTGTTCAGTCCGTTGGAAATCGAGAGCAAAGTCCCGGAAAAATTGGGACTCAGATCTAGGTGGTTCACGCTAACGCTGACGTTACCAAAGCCCATGAGCGTCATGCCTATGACAAACGCCGCTACGACGAGGTGCTCGTTGCATCCCGCGTACGAGGCGCAAATAATAAACATCACCGGTCCGAGAATTGCCATCGAACCCACGGCTTTTCTTATTCTCCCTACCGTCGTCATCCCCTTGGAGAGCGCTGAATTGACCAGCCACGATGACAGTACCGAGTTCAACCATATCAGGAAATACGAAGCTGCCGCCACGTAGCCGATTTTGTCGATGGCCAGTCCGAGGCTTTTCATGAACTTGGGCAGATCGTTGGCCATACCTTGTATGGAAAAAAAAAGAACTCGATAAAATATGTTACTCTAGTCGTTACCTAGTTGTTGGTAGAAGTATACCCAAGTACGTCCAATTGGTTCCCAAAAGTCCCATCGTGAAGGCCCAAAAAGGCATGGATTTGAGGATGTGCCGATAAGGAGCTGGTCGGGTCGTCTTGTTCAAGCCATGCTTCGTACTATCTTGTAAAAACTTTTTTTCCTCGTCCGATATGAAGGGGTGCTCGTCCGGGTTGTTGTAACAGAGTAAAATCCAAAAGGGGAGCCAAATCACGCCCAGAGTGCCGAAACAGTAAAAAACAGCGGGCCATCCGTAACCGGAGTACTTAATAATCAGGGCGGGGATGATGGATCCCAGTATCGTACCGATTTCGTATCCAGCGCAAATAATGCCGAAACTCGTGCGTTCGGACGATGGTAGCCAGTGGGGTGACATCGAACCAATGGCTGGATAAATGGCACCACTGCTCAAACCAAAAAGGAAGCGCAAAGCTATCAGAGCCGTCGATCCTCTCCATTTGACGGCAAATGGAATCAAAGTGGTCAGGAGAGAGGGAAGGAAAATTGCTTGGCCCAAGAAAAACTTGCCACCAAAGCGTTGAATCAATGGCCCGTAGACGAAATGCATGGGTCCGTATGCCCAGAACACCGAGGACAATATTAAACCCTGTTCATGTTGGACATATAATAACTATATGAATATTATATTGGATGTAAGTATACTAATATGGAAAAAAATGGAGAGTTTGTTGAAAAATTGAAGGGTTTTGAATGACGCTAATAATAAATTTTAATCGAATTTTAAAATAAGATAAAAATATCGTTAGCTTGCCCACTTTGTGCCACTTTCTCCAAAGTTTGAAGACATTTTTAATTGGCAATTATAACTTAAAGACAACTAGTTTTTTTTAAACCAAGGTTTTGCATGATGTGAAAATTTATTGATTTTTAATCGCATACGTCTCGAATCAAACTTTTTTACTTTTGTTTTCCGGAACAATTATATACACAACATTGATAACACATGCCTAAATGATTATTAGCCAACACGCGCAGACTTACTTGCGTATAAGTATCCCAATCGTAAAGTGGTACTGTAGTATCCAACAAGGGGTTGGAATTGTTTGGACTTTTTTCTACCTCGAAGCATCTTTCGTGTGTTTGATTGACAACTTGTTTTTTTGGTAATACCATTTGGGTAATTGTTATGGTAAAGACACTTCTCAAAGAACTAAAAATAGCAAGAGTAATGAAACACATCCCGATAAATACCCATTTTTGTGAAATACTTGAGTCTAGGGATGAAAAAAAACAATTTATGCTTACTTAGGCAATAGTATTTTATACAAATTATTATTTAAAAAAAATTTGTTAATACTCACAAAAGCTTTCTCGCGTACACAGCATAATTTATTTTTGAATGATTTCAAAAGATTATCCGTTGCCTTCGAAAATCTCCAACGAGAATAAAGCACTCGACAAAACCTTGACACTTCATCGCTCGGATTCAAGAAAATATAGCTGCGTTTGCTATTGTAATTGTATTTGTGGATAAACAGAAGCGTGACTTTACGCGACTTACACTGTTGATCCAACTTATCATGTGTCTGATGTATTATTGTTTTTGAACGAAATTCCTTAAAAGTAATCCTACACTCGACGGAGAGCGTTGGATCCACCCAAAAGGCGCTCGTTTTCACATCAAATATAAAATCAAACTCTGTTTTTCGAAAAACCCATTATGCACCTCGTGGGACGGAAAAATATGTTTTTGAATAAATTTTTTCCCTATGTACGGAACATATTCGAAAAAGAGCAGGGGAAAAAAAGTCGACCGCAAGCTTCGGCCTGTCTTGCAGTTGTTAAAAGCTCCGTGAAGCAATGCATAAAAAAAAAAAAAAAAAAATACGCGACAGGATAATAGACCCACGACCTGGTTTCTCTCCCCCCTTATTTCGAGGCTTTGAATATATTACATGTAATAGTGAACCTTCGTCGAACGGTAATAAACAAATTTTTCCGCTCACCCTCGATTTTTTTCGATTAAGATGTAATGAACAACAACACCCAACTCGACTGATGAGACGAAGCGTAAAAACGCGTTAAACGTGTTTTTTGTTTGTTTATCCAAGTGTGCGCGGCCGACACCAGGTGCATTGAAAATTTGTCGAGAAGCCGCAAAATATTGATCATCCCTCTTGTTTCGTTAACCTTCGAGCTCGAGCATCTCAGGCAGTATTCCCTCCACATAGGCAACATCTTCGGCTTGCCTAAGGCAAAACATAAACACAAGGGCAAAAGCCGTGGCGGCGATAACAGCTATACCATCACCACCACCAGCACTTGCCGTGTGTGTGTGTATAGGATTTCGTCATTGCGACCGCACGTATCTCGGGCATAATGCTGCCAAGAGTTCCATCGCTGCTGCAGTAGTTGCGTTTGCGGGGGTATATATACCCTCGTGGGATGGATGTGGGTTGATGGCAGTGAGCGGGGAGGTGGGGAAAAGAAAAAAAAAAATAATAACAGTAATAATAAATAAACAGCTGACGTGAGTAGGATCTCGGTTGGCCGTCAGGCAGCCCTCGCTGGTCTATACCACGTATTCTTTTTTCCCTTTATTTTCACGTCCCGTGGAAGATGGAAGAAAAAGAGGAGACATGAGAGCTCAATGTGCGAGGTGCTACGTATGGACGCTTTTTGCGTTGAGGTAAGCTTTTTTTTTTCTTTTTTCTTTTATGACACAGATACCCTACGTAAGTAGGCTCGATGGGCGTCAAAAAGTAGTCCAAAAAAATCTTACGACATCGAGTTTTGTGAGGCGTTGCATTTGTAGTATCCATGCAATGAATATCCCGACATTTAACCTTTTGTGTGTAATGTCTAGTACCAGTGAGAGAGAAGCAGAGGTACATGAACGACGTCGAAACTAACATCGTCCTCGTCTTGTCTGACAAATTGCTTTTTCGCTAGCTTTTCTTTTTTTTTCCTCTTCTTTCCTACGAAGTAACGAAAGGAGAAGTAAAGAGCAGGTGTCAGAGTAAAGAGTACGAAAAAAAACGTTACTACTCGAGAGAATAAATGCACCATCAGAAAAAAAAGGGTAAGAGGAAAAATAAAAACAATACAAAAAGTAACCCATACGGAAATGTTTGATTGTTACAAACGAAACAAAAAAATGCTTAGCTTATGGTGATGCTTATTTTTTGCTCGTGAGTCTGGTCGTCATTGAGCCCACTGGATCTTGAAAAATCCATGAAGATGTGTACAGGATTTTTTTTTATTCATTAACATTGAAAATAATTTAATTTACTTTCGGTTATCATCAGTTCGTAAACAGTGTATTTTTTTTTATAAATAAGCATAATTACCTCTATGATCCACACAATAAATTAAAAGCGATGATTTACATGTATTTGGTGATAACTCATACTATCATGAATAATGGTTTAATGCACTAAAATTAATGAACAAAGGGCCTAAATACGAGCCTAATATACTCAATACCTACGCTGTTAAATTTTTATAGATTTCGCAGCGAAATTAAATTAAACAAAAGAGATTTATGTCAATGAATTTGTAAAAAAAATTTGTAAAAAATAATAGTAACACGAAAAAAGTAAAGTTAGTACAGAGTAGCTATAGCTGGACTTTGCTCAAGACTGACCATATTTGAATAAGCAAACATTTGGACGAGAAAGAAAGGGAGGTAAGAATAAAAATGAAAAGAAACAGTTCTAGAAGCGCGCCACCCGTGCAGAAAAAGAAATTTGTATCAAAAAGACACGGGTCTCGGAAAAAAACCAGGAATCGGTAACGTTTGGACCGTGCTGCCGACGTTTAGTATTCAAGCTTGTCACCTATACGCACGAAAAGGCGGAAAACGCCCTTACACATGTACAACTCGTGTCCAGAGCCCCGGGATTCAAGCAGCTGGCTCTGCCCGACCCCTCCGCCCCCCCCCCCACTTGTATGTAACGAAGGGGGCAAAAAATAACTTGTACACGTATAAGCGGAGGATTTTATTTTCAACATGACAAATGGAAGCGGCCCTCCGTTGGCCAGACAGTTTTACGATGAGAATCGCATCACGATATTATCGGACTTTTCCTCTCCCTCCCTCTCTCTCCACGTCAGCCAAGTCTGGCAGCTATTTCGATTACCAGCATGTGTATTTTACTCCTGGTTGCCTTGTGTTTTTATTATTTTTTTCGGCCCACATTAGTTTGTTTTTATTTTTTTATAAGCCCCCGATGAAAACTAATCGAAGGGGGATTTTACCCATTTGTACAGAAAACCCGTAATTATTTCGTGACTAACCGATCGTTACAACTCATTTGACAAGCTCCACTGTCTTACACAACAAACGAAGCTCGTAATGAGAAACACTTTGTTAGCTGCGGCTGTGCAATGGATAATTCACGCGTTTGCTGCTGCGGTGTTGAAACAATACGTCTGCAGTGTAGAGAGTAGCAACGTTTTTGAGCAACAAAATAAAAAAAAAAAAATTAAAAAAAAAGTGTTAACAAATGGGTGATTTATTACACAATTGAACAAAGTACCTACACGACGTTTTCCGTGTCCACCCTTGTTCTTGTGAAGTTTAAATATTCAAGAGTGGGATGTGCCCCGTGGACATTCAAACTTTCGGACGTACACATATACCTATTACCTACACATTTACACTCGGACGAGCTCCTGATGCCCACTACACTTGCGTTTAAAATCAGTGAAAAGTAACGTTGTACACTACAACCCTTGGTTTTTTTTTTTTTTTTTTCTCTCATTAAAGCTCTGTTCAAACAAAATTTGTAGTTGTTGACGAAAGGAGATGTTTAAAGACGCACTACAATAAATTCACCCACGAGTATGTATTTTCGCGTTTCATCCAAAGGTTCTTCTCCATTTAAATCAATCGCAAGAGAAGTCGTACCACCAGCTGGCATTTAATTTAAGGAAATCATGTCCGTGTGGGGATGTATTTGTTTGCACCCTCAGGTTCGCTAATGAGATTGCGTGAACTGAATTCTATTGTCGCGGCACGTACATACATCAGGAGGAGTCGAAGCAGAGGCGAATATATAGTCTCGGAAAATTAAGACGCCTTAGCGCCTGTGCCGCGGGAGTGAGTGCCCTATATTAAAAGGGAACGATTGGTTTGGGATTGATTGCACACCCACCCGATGGATTATAGTTTTGTTTTATTGAATTTTCCTTGTGAACCTCAATAAGAACCGATTCGATATCCATCAATCAAGTCTTACATCGATTCGTACAATCACGTCTCTGCATGTAGTGACCCGGTGAATATACCCTGTCCCGGTAGTACCTACAATACAAGTTGCAGCTTATTTGTAAGCCCACCGCCTCTGAATAATTCAAGGGACAAAACACGCTCGCTCCGTCCCCTCTGACACCGTAGCGCTGCGGCGATCCGTTTCCTTCCCCTCGATCCCTTGAATCGCTCGATAAATATCCATCCAAACGCAAGTTGAAATTAATTTTACGTCATCAGCGAGAGTGCGACTCGTATACAGTCGAAAAGCGCCGTTACTCTCTGCAAAGGCCAGCGTTAAAAGGCGCGCGTTTCGACGAGGAGAATCATCGCCAAGTGCTTCCTCCACACCCACACTGTTCGCATCCTCACACTGCACATGTATCTATATACGTATGAAACAAAAAACACGTATATATAACAAGCAGTCGAGGGCGCTTGCGCGCATATAGTATAGCAGCGGCATCGTAGGTATAGGAACCTACAGCGGGAGGGAGGTGGTTGGCGGTATTAGTGGTGGTCGGCCCGCGCGCGGTACTCCTCAGTCGCTCGGAAGCGCGCCTATGTGGCACTTACGGCTCACCGTCCGGCTCCAGTCGATGTAAACACAGTAAAAGAAGCTCGTTCGGGATGACGATAGTGACGCGTCGATCCTCGTGATGTGGTTGACAGTCGCGTCCTGATTGCCGAGAAGGGAGTCTACCGGGATGGTCCTTTACCGATCTTTTGGTTGGTGAATTTCGGGGCCGAGTTAACAGTGAAGTAACGGACAGAGCACGCACTAACTTGTGTCCCTAGTTTCCTATGGTTCCCTGGAAAAATCGGTAAGATGCGCGAAACCGGACTGAACGGGGTTGACCCACCTCCAATGAGGTGTCGCAAGAAGGGACTAACGTAGCTGAAAAGTACACAGTGACAAAGTTACCGATATAAACGAAAGAGTTTTTCAAAAGGATAAAAAAAGAAAAAGCCATGCATAACGAGACACTGTACAATTTCACGTGCGGCCACGGTCTCGACGCCTTCCACACGCGCTACGTCTCGATCCACGGCTACGTGAGCCTGCTAGTGTGCACCTTCGGCTCCATAGCCAATGGCCTGAACATAGCGGTGCTCTCGCGCAAGGAGATGTCCTCGCCGACCAACGCGATACTCACGGGCCTCGCGGTCGCCGATCTGCTCGTTATGATCGAGTACATACCGTACGTGATACACACCCACCTCTACCACAGGCCCAAACGCGACACCTACACCTACGGCTGGGCCCTGTTTGTCCTCTTTCACTCAAACTACGCCCAGATCTTCCACACCATTTCCATCTGGCTGACCGTGACTTTGGCCGTGTGGCGTTACATAGCGGTCGCCTATCCGCAAAAGAACCGCGAGTGGTGCAGCTACCGCAGGACGATCATGGCCATCGTGGCGGCGTACGTCATTGTGCCGCTCCTCTGTTCGCCGATGTACCTCACCACGGAGATAGTGATCAAAAACAGGTTGCTCGACGCCAACGATTGCGAGGTCAACCTGACCGCCCGTCAACTCCACGGAAAACAGGATACAAACAGCACCAACGCGGAGCCAAAGAACACGACCCTGTACTTTGTCGCGATGACCGAGAGCGCGCGAGCCATCGGCTTCGAGGACTTGAACCTGTGGGTGTACGGGGTGGTGATAAAGCTGATACCCTGCCTGGCGCTGACGATATTCAGCCGGCGGCTGATCCTCGCCCTCGTCGAGGCGAAGAAGCGCCGGAAAAAGCTCACGACGACCACGATGCTCAAGATGGAGGAGTCGGCCAGCGTGGCCGAGGGCAAGAAGCGCAAGCGGAAGCACTCGCGGCTCATCGACAAGGAGAAACAGACCGACCGGACGACCAAGATGCTCCTGGCGGTGCTGCTGCTCTTCCTCCTCACCGAGTTCCCCCAAGGGATGATGGGACTGCTGAGCGGCCTCCTCGGCAAGCCCTTCTTCAACACTTGCTACCTCAAGCTGGGTAATTTTCGTTTTCCCCACCTCCAGCTTTACGGAGCTTTTGTTTGTCCTTGGCCGCGGGGCTTGGGTGTCGCGTTTCGCGCGATCGAGTGTCCAGCGCGCACTTTGCCGGTCTAACGGGAGGTGGATCGATTTCGCGTTTTTTGCCTACATCCTCTGTGCGTGCACACGTGTGTACAACGGGGACAAATATTTGCTCGACGTTGCACGAGTTTAGCCGTTGTTTAAACGCCCCCGGGGCTTCGATATTTTACACGGAATCCAATGGAAAGCCTCTCCGGCCTTTAAAGCGAGAAATCAACAAACTCCACGGGGGAGGGGGGGTTTTAATTTTAACCCGTCCCGTTTTGTTTGTTTACTCGCGGGTGAAAAGAATCGGCGCGACAAGACGGATCGGTATTTACGGATTCTCCGGGAATAGAGCGCCGTATCTCCATCGTCTCCGGTTGTTTTCGATGCATCGGCGCTCGTTTTTCATTGTCTCGGGCGCCGCTGGCAAAATATTTTCGCGCCCGGAAACCTCGCTCACGCCGGATGTCGCGTAGTGCGGGCTATGTGGGTGCTTAATTGGCTGGATGACGGATAAATATGCCGCAAAACCGTGGCTATCGTATCCGCTCGGTACGGTGAGAGAACTCGAGTGCATTTCATCAACTTTCGCGAGCTTGCGCAGGTTTGGATGGAGTATACTTTTTTTTTTTTTTTTTTTTTTTTTTTTTTTTTTTTTTTTTTTTTTTTTTTTTT